TATCAGCCAGAGGAATCACTGTGTTAATATGAAGTCTTTCCTGCCCAGCAGCACAGAACAAGCTTGGGATCACTACACACTTTTTTATTCTCCAGCAAAGAGGTGATTTTAGCATTGTGTTACCTAATAAACATTTTCCTTTCATGTACCTGTGCCCTTTTGTGGGCAAGCACCCAGCTCCTCCTCTCAAATTATGACAGCTCAGTGACTGACCAGAGGCTTTGGCAATCTTATATGGGACAATGACTTGAAACCAAACCTCTCTCTTGCAAATAATTTCAGAATAAAATTTAACTGAGAGCTGTGTAAACAATTACTTAGGAGGACAAAATACGTTTTACTTTTCTATAGCTCTCTGCCTTCTACAGTGTTTACAGGAGTTAAAATCTAGTTTAGTCATTAATCAGGTATGAATCAAAGAAACTCAGAAGATGCGGTTGTTAAGGAAGCAGAATTATTTTCACACAAAGAAGCATTTTCCTCATTCTAACTTCTTCTTAATGAGTGCATATCTTTAATAAACAAACACATTATTTTTAATTGTATCAAGAAATTTTCATCTGTAATACAGCTCAAATAAAAAATACTGAAATAGTAAAGACACTTTGGTTTTTTTAAATTCACATCTAGTATGTTCATTGCCATAATGCAATACTGTAAATGCCAAAAAAGTGAATCACTGATATATAATTTTAAAATGCCAGTGATTTCCCAGCTGTCACTGATCTTGGAAAATTTCCCCAGTAGCATGTGGAGATCAATAATTGTTTACAGACTTTTTAGTCCCAGTTTATAAGGAGGGTATCAGTGTGGACTATGTCAAATCTTTTAACTGTGAAGTTAAAGCCTGGTTTCACTTAAATATATCCAAAAGCCCATCATCCTAAAGAAAGGCAAGAACAATGATCCAGGGAGCTACTGCTTGTCCATTGGGACAATAATGCTGCAAACCTACAGGAGCCATTCCTGAAGAAAGAAAGGTGATTAGTAGTATCCAGCACGGCTTTTCCAAGGTTTGCCCAACCTGACCTCTGTGATGCCCCGGAAGATGTGCAAAGGCAGAGCCATAGATGCTGCCTACCTTGCCTTCAGGGTCTCCACAGCAGACTCTATCCAAGCTGGAACGTTACAGTGTGGATGGGTACACTGCAGCAGGGGTGAAGGTCTCCTGCCAGGCCCAAGGGCTAACGAGGTTTACTCCACCTGGCAGCTGCTAACCTTGGCATTCCTTGGGCATCCACCCTTAGACCTAAGCCACAGAATAGCTGTCAGTGTCCTGGAGGAGAACACAGAGCAAGGATTTTTATCCCTCTTTATTTTTTTTAGGATATTTCAGCACCAAAAGAGGTTGCCCAGAGAGAATCTCGATCCTTGCAGGTTTTCAAAACTTTGTTGCATCACATCCTCAACAAACTGATATGATTTCAGTGTTGACCCTAATTTGAGCAGTTTGCTCTAGAAAACATCCTAAAGTCTGTCCCAGCTGAATGATTCTATGATTCTGAGAAAGAGGCTTTTCAAAGTTCACCTTTGCCATCCTTCCTATCCTTAGGTTTTTCCTATACATGTGTAGTTCTAGGCTGATGTCAAAAGTAAGTAAATTAACATGTCCTCCTCATCCTTGTAGCTCAGAAGCAGGTTTAAGATCAATACCCTGTGCATGCTGATCCCAAATTCCATGGCAACGTTAATGTATCGCATTAGCAGAAAATACCCTTCTCACTCACAATTTTTCTCTCCTTGCACACATATTCATGTGCAAGCGGGTAAAGAACCTTTCTTTTCTGAATCCAGATGATTTTCTATTCAATGTTTTTCAGAAACAGTACTGAAAAATAATTTTGTCTTTGATTATGTCTCTTTACAGCTTATTCATCAATGTTTTTAGTTATGGCAGATCAATTCTTTTCTGTGCTCATCTATTTCTCCTTTGTTTCATCTAATTTTTCAACAGCTGAGTCTTTTCCTTGTTTAATTGAAATGAGAGCTAAGGTTTCACATGCATCACTGTGTCTATAGCTCTAAACATTAATTGGATAAGAAACTGTGATACAAATTGGTAAAAAGACATGCTATATCCCAACACTGTAAAGAAATGTGAGTTTTGCACTGTTCTTGTGAAACCCAAAATTTAATTCCATTACTCCATGTATTGAAGTCAAACACACTGAATCTGGTGTCCCTTACAACCTTTCAGAGGTTTGATCTCTTCACAGCTACATTTGTACTGCAAACTCCCTGCTTAGCAAACCAGGCATTGCAGGCAATCTTCAAAATGAGCAATAACACTGCAGTGTAGTCATTTGTCACAGAACTGCACATTCTAAATGTGACACTATTTAGCATATAGTAGAAATGTATACTGGAAATGAACCATATATTTTCTCCCTAATTCCTTTATTAAGAGTGGTTAAACACATTAAGTTGTGCAGTTTCATATCCAAGGTCTTATTTCCAGCATTTTAACACTGCCAGAAAGTATTTAAACCTTCTTTGTGTGTATCATCATAAAGAAAAAATCTGAATTGTACTGAAAACTTCCAAACATACACATTTAAAGTAACAACTGGAATTCTCCAAATTTGTGCAATTAAAACAACATAAAATGGAATTTATAAGATATGATATATGTACAAAATTATTAAGCATGGCTATAGCCAGAAGCCTTTTTGGGGCAACTATAACATACATTGGTGGCTTTGCCACAAACTGAAGCCAAAACAACTTCTTTTAAACCCATGAGAAATCCAACACTTTTCCTGAGATGCAGTACCATGTATATCAATAGTGGAAGCAGTTTAAACATTTTCAAAAAGAAAAAATCTTAAAAGTCCAGAAAGATATAAACAACATAGTTGTCTTCTTTATCCTTGTTCCTTTCTTCACTCCTGGCTATGCAAATTAGATAAAAGTAGAAGGTTGTGATAGCAGTGGAAGACTCACCAAAATACATTTCAAAACTAAGAAAAAATATTTAAATTGGTATTAAAAAAAAAATCAATAGTTATATTGACAGTTGAAGGCAGAGTGAATACGAAGTCATGTGGCTCTGAGGCCTGATCTTTTAAGCTGCTCCTAATTAAATGCAGCTTTGCTCTTACTGGATGTTAAGAGCTTTCCAGGTTACTGCCCGTATTAAAGGAAAATTAGATGCTTATCTGTATGAGTGTTGCAAAGTTGATTGAAAAAAGATAATGTGTGAAGACTGTCAAAAAATAGTATTGCTGATTCATTCTAATGTGCTTAGACATTCCTGAACTCTGATGGTTCATCAGTACCTCATAGTATGGGTCATAATCCTTAGCAGATAAACGCTTAATCCGAGATAAATCGTAATAAATCCAAATGAGATTAGACCTTTACCAAAATACCCAATGACTGGTGTAAAAACATGTTTGAGTGACTGTGATACATCAGTGGGAGCCACCGACTGAATTCTTTACAGAATAGCAGAGAAAAGCAGAACTGTTCTGATCAGCACCACTCGGGGGCTGGTGTTGAGTGTTCTTCACCAGCCTCCCTTCTTAACAGTATTCCTCTGATCTGCAAGGCTTCATGGTTTACATCAGTGTTCTGTCAAAGTCACCTACTTTCTGAAACAAATGTTTTATTTATCTCCTCCTTCCCACTCCTGCTATTGTGAATCCGAATAAAACCTGCAGGAGCCTTAAGGCTAAAACATTCAGAGGCATCCACTGGCATTTTCATCCCCTCTGTATTTCATAGCTTATGATATCAGGTTAACTCGTTAAGTATTTACAGTAAAGGACATCTTTGCACACCATTTTAGAAAATCAAAAAGCCACAGTTGCTAAAATTCATGGTGCTATGATTGAGTAAATGCATTATGGTTGGAGATGGACAAAAATATAAGAAAAGCTGTTTGGTGCTAAGATCTGAGATTGTTATGAAAATCTAGACTCTTTACCTGGAAGAAATTTTGCCCACCTTTACTTGTGACACAAATATAACCTCTTAACCTGCTAAATGTAAACAAAAAGCAGTTGTCTTGAATAAAAAGTACTTCAGCTACATTTTTATGTTTTTTATTCTATAATAATAAAACCTCTGAGAAATTATGTTCTAAAAAATTGTGTTGCCTTACATCCAAGGATTTAGAGAGAAAATAATTATAATAAATTTAATAAATTGCACCTTGAATTTAATTACAGTTGTGAATGAAGGTACCCATGGAAGTCTGAGTTCCATTAGCATTACTGAACATACTCAGAGTCATGATCCTGGAACATTGACTTCATGGGAGTTTCGACTGTGGGAAGAATTAAAGTTTGCATCTGATGTCCTCAAAGTCTTTGATGTGTTTATAACTTTTATAGGTCAGTTGCAAAGATAAGCTTTGTAATGGCTTTCTACACTTACCCTGGAAAAGCACTTACACTCTTTTTCCATTGCTTAAAATACAGAACTATTTACTTCTGACACTTGCTATTTGTTCCAAATACCGCGGTGTGCATTACTCGTGTATCGATTCACAAAGCATCCTCTGAACCGGCAATTTCCTCGCCCTGCTCTGACAGCACAGAGAAGCCACCAGATGTTGTCACTGTCTGACTTCGGCTGCTGCTGCCGTTTCATCATCGGGTGACGCGAGCACAGCTCTGCCCTGGGTGTTGTGATTGTAGCAGTGACCTGGGTAAGCGCTTCCCACTGGCAGCTCCCGCCCTCCGTCCAGCCCAGGCTCCCAAACTCCAGCGGATCCCGCTGTTGGTGGCTCCGAGGAGACAAAGGAACGGGGCGGGCGGTGGGAGGAGAATGGTGAGCAGGGCGCTCAGGTAGAGACAGAGACACAGAGCAACACAGGTGATCTCTAGCGCAGGTGTAGAATGAGCACTCACGTCCTCTGAGCTGAGACTTCACCTCACTTTCACTGCCTACAACACACGACTCATTTTTCTGAAGGACAAAAGTAAGTTCTTATTTTAGAAGGTGTTTTTGTTGGTGGTTTTACCATGTAACTAAGAAATGAAGTAACATGAAAATGAACTAAATCTTTTATTTTGTGTAGTCTCTAAATCATGCATTAGCAGTATTCAGTTATAAGAAACATTCACAATTACTTCCTATTTGAGGAGCTCCACCTAGAATTCTCTTTTTATAATAACTATATTGGTCTTTACACTTCTCAAAGGTACAGAAGACTTTCCTATGACTATTTTTGGTTACATTTTTAAAGAGTTGGTAGGAATATCCTCTGGATCCAAACTTGCACCATCAAGCCAATGCCACGTAATGATCATTAGTTGTACAACAGATCTTTCTCTACACCTGTGGAGAAATATTTGCACTGTAACCAGATCCAGTAGGAACTATAAAATGGTGGATGCATGATTCTGGAGTATTGAGTAACACTTTTTTGTTCCTGAGACCTAAAAATTCTAGGCAAATCCTGAATAGTGCAACCTGGGTATACTACAAATAAAAAAGCTGTGTAAGAGATGTCATTTTCTTGGGTATAGAGAGCTCAAAGTGAAATGCTTTTAGAAAAGCTGTTGTCTAATGTGGTGATACCTTATCATTTAATGGATTGATGCCCTTTTCCTGACTGTTGTTTGCAGCTAGACTTCTCAGTTTTTAAGAATATCAATACCTCTTCAAAAGTTGTAGAGGCTGTAAGTCAGGAAGGATTTTCCATCATGCTGTCAAAATAAACACAAGGAAAATATCCAGCGCACCTAAAAGTACAGCAACACTACTTTGGGTAGGAGAGAAGCACTCTGAGGCCAGGATACTGAGAAGGGGCAGATGATGTAATGTAAGAGTGCTGTGAGAAAGTCAAACTTGTTTACAGGAAAACAAATAATCTTACTTTAGCTTTGTCTGGATTTCTGACAATGACATTTCATATCTCCTCTGTTTAGAATAATTCATGTATTTTAGGGGTTGCCTGCACAGAGTGTATCACAGATCTTTTCCCTATGTGATAGCATGTCTCTAAAACAAGAGAATTTGGACCAAACTAATAGACAGATGAAGCCAAACAAACAAATTGCTGCTATGCTAATTTCTGAAACAGATGGCTCTGATCCAGCATTTGCTGGGAAATGCAATTCCTTGTCAATCTAACACAGAATCATGTCTGACTTTCTCTAATCCTGTATGTATTGCATATAGGGAGGAATCTGGCTCAGGATACTCCACCCACAGCTAAATTTATACACAGAGAACTGAAAATCAGAGAGCATAAACAAATACAAATTCTGCCGTCCTTACTGGAAGTGGAGATTGGACCCTGTTTTGAAGTTTCAGGTATAGATCTTCAAAAGGCCTGAGATGTTCAGTCTTGCTTCACTTTGTGGTAGAAATACCCTTGGAATTAAACATCGCTTGCAGCACTGAAGTAAACCAGGCAAGCTAGAAGCTTCTTTCAGACTCCAAGTATTTTATTTAAATATCTGAGATTCTGTTATTTTTAACCAAGATACCTGAAACAAAAGAAGTCAGTAAAAAAGTAAATAATTTCACACCCAGGTTTCTGACCAGGCCATAACTCAGCTGCTTCAGTCTGTCTTCACTGCTGCTGCATCTTCATCTAAATTTAGCCTAATGTTCAGAATGACCTACACAGCAAGAAAATAAACTGTTTGAAAAAATATAGGACAAAGCTTATGTCTAAGGAAAAGCTTCCCACAATGTTCTATTTGCGGCACACGATCATACATTTGTGTCACATCATCTTATCCTTCCCTTGATTGAAAAAGAGGCTTTTTAACCTACTGAAAATTCTTCCTCGTACATCTTCACGGCGGAGGGTCACGGACCCAGTCAGAAACAAGGGGGAAGCACCTGCCCGGTGGAGATCAGCACAAAACTCACCCAGCCCGCAGCGCTTCATTAATTTCCATTCCCACAGCTGGGAGGGAGGGAGCGGAGCTGTGCGGACCCTCAGGGCTGCGTTACCCCGCTGAGGCTCCCCACACGTGTGGGCCCTCACGGCCCGCACAGCTGCGGCGGGTTCCGCGCGCCATAAGAGCCTCAGCCCTCAGCGCCTCAGCGCCCCGCCCGCCGGCCCCGGAGACCCCGTAGGCGCCACGTGCGGCCGCGCGCCCCCCTCGTGGCGGTCCCGCGGCGGCGGAGGATGCGCGGCCGGAGCGCGGTGAGTGAGGCGTGAGGTGCGGGGTGGGCGCGGCGGCCTCGCCACTTTCTCCCTTCTCCTGGCGGCGACCGCTCCCGGGGCGCGGAGCTTTAACCCCCCTCCCCTCCTTTTCTTCCCCCTTCAGGCGGTGAATCCGCCCTCATGGCGTTGTGCGCCGCCGGGAGTGGGGCCGCGCTTGGGCCGGTTTGGGTGGTGCTGCCTGGGTTTGTTCCGCTCTAAAAAAAGGGCTTATTTCTTAAAAAAAAAAAAAAAAACAAAAAAAGTAATTTTTGCACTGCGTTCCCTGAATTACGGGGTTTAGAATGAAAATTTATCCATCGGGGGCTTCCGGGCAGTGGGACCGGGGGGACCAGGCCGCTCCCGGTGGCCGTGGCCGGGCACTCCCGCTGGCTGCTCCCGGTGTCCCTGCCCCGGGGGTGGCTTCTCCCGGTGTCCCTGCCCCGGGGGTGGCTTCTCCCGGTGTCCCTGCCCCGGGGGTGGCTTCTCCCGGTGTCCCTGCCCCGGGGGTGGCTTCTCCCGGTGTCCCTGCCCCGGGGGTGGCTTCTCCCGGTGTCCCTGCCCCGGGGGTGGCTTCTCCCGGTGTCCCTGCCCCGGGGGTGGCTTCTCCCGGTGTCCCTACCTGTGAATGGCTTCTCCCGGTGTCCCTACCTGTGAATGGTCTCTCCCCGTGTCCCTGCCCCGGGGGTGGCTTCTCCCGGTGTCCCTGCCCCGGGGTGGCTTCTCCCACTGTCCCTACCTGTGAATGGCTTCTCCAGGTGTCCCTGCCCCGGGGGTGGCTTCTCCCGGTGTCCCTACCTGTGAATGGCTTTTCCCGGTGTCCCTGCCCCGGGGGTGGCTTCTCCCAGTGTCCCTACCTGTGAATGGCTTCTCCCGGTGTCCCCACCTGTTCACCTTCCAGTGTCTTCTTGTTTCTCCACCTGTGTGACGCATATTCGAGTTACAGGCTCGGTCCCGTTTACTGTGATGAGTACAATTAAGGTGTTTTTAATTAAAGTCATTACCCATGACTGTAGTTTTAATTGCCTAATAGTTATTCTGGAAGTTAGTGCTGTTTTTATGCTGATAGCATTTTTTTTTTTTTCCTGCAGCAGGCTGATGGTGTATGAAGTATTCCCAGGTGTTAAAAGGTTGGCATGGATAGAGTTTAAACTTCTGTTCACTTGTTATGCTATGTATAAAGAAAAAAATCCAAAAGGAAATTATATCAATGAACATTTGTGTTAAAGAATATAGATTTCCCTAAATATTTGCTGAGGTTTTTTTCAGTGTGAAGGCACGCTTTGAGTAAGACTCACTAGTTGTGGAGGCTGGCTGGCAGTAAGGCTGCCTATGGTGATAAATCATCCTTTAAATTTCACCAAAGCAAGAGCAGGACGGTTCATATTGCATCACTTGCTCAATTTGTTTAGTGGTTCTTAAGTAGGTCTCCCACTGGCGTCATTGGAAGGTCGTTGTAACCAGTGGCACCCTCAGTGCTATTTAAGACTTTTATTATCTCCTTGTATTAATAGAGGACCTCTGAATATTATTTAACGGGTATATTGGAGGTTTGGTTTTGTGCCAGCACTCAGCCTTTTCTTGTAAGAAGGGCCAGGGAGAGCAGTTGAGAATTATTTTAATAAAAACAAAGCAGTTGTTCCCCTGTTTTTCAATTCAAAAATTCTAGAACAGTATTGGAAACCTTAAACAAGAAAGTTCTAGTGGTTGAGAAGTGGAGCTTGCAGCACATTTAAAGCAAAAATGAAACTGATAGTCTAATTTTACGATCCACACTGAGTGACATCCAAAAGAGTAAGAAAGCCCAAATGATGGAAAGCAAATTAGATTTTTAAATTAGATAATGTTTGAAGATGTTGGAGTATTACTACATTTATTTCCTTGTTAATACTCTGTTTTAGGAAAAAGTAAGGAAAGATAAATCATACCAAAATAATTTAAATGACACTTTAAAAAAATCAATTACAGTGTGAGGCTTATTGCTATGCAGAGGGAAGAAGCCTTTGCACAGAAATAAGCCTTTTACTTTATTCCACCTATTGAACAGAAAAGTGTAGACTAGGGAGAAAGTGCTTGTCTAGCTTTGGCAGTAGAGAAGCCTGGAAATAGTCTGAGGAAATGGAGATTGCATTCCATTTCAGCACTGCTGGTGAGTTACCTGGCACAGGCATGTGTATTTTAATCTAAATTTTAAAGGGGTTTTGAAACACAGTTAACTTTTTTTTAGCCATACGTGGGAAGGACTTGTTCTTTGTGTCTCAATATGGAGGAAACACCTGAAATTTATAAGTTTAAAATGAATGACTTTCAAGGAAGATGTGTACTGTGACACTAGTTAAGAGAAGATTGCTTTATATGTTTACTGGTTTTGTGAAAGGAGGAAAAGGTGACACCCTACAGCCATAAGTCAGAAGGCTACAGGCAGGACAGCAGTTGTCTGGAACTTTAAATGTGGAATGAGAAAGGTGCTGTTGTGGGCAGCCAATTCTTCCTGCATAGTTAAAGATCACCTGATTAGTGTATTTTAGGAGGCTATAGACTTCTCTTAAATGTAAGGGTATATTTTAAAAGTGAATTTTGGCTTCTATGTGGATGCAGAAATAACATGGAAGATGGTCATCACAAAGAGTTAATATATATGTATCCCAATGGAGTGTTGGGTTTTGTGCCAACACTGTAGGGGAGAGGCAGAAGCTGTTAATTGCAAGTCACTTTGCTGTTCACATTCTGAGCTGGGGGGTGGCAATTCCTTTTTTACCCAGGTGTTTTTTCTTTTTTTTTTTGCCTAGGTATACTTGGGGTTTTTACAGCTGGGAGTCAGCAACTTTTTATTAATTTTCTGGAAATAGATGTGTGGCAAATAAGTTCTTAAATAACTCCAGGTTGTGTCAGCATTTTTCTTTGCTTGTTTCTATCCACATTAACTGTTACTGTTCAAATCAGCCTAGTAACAATTTTGAAGAATGGCAAAAGTAATGAGAATGGATGTATTTCATGAAAGGGTAGTATATAAGAGGAGAGAAGTAAAACCTTAATATTGCCAGTTAGATTCCTATTATCTGTAACTGCTTTCTGGCCCTAAGGGAAGTAGATACCTCTAACAGTAAAATCTGTGTGAAACAGCATCATATTCTTATACTGGTCTAGCTGCCTGGATAAAAGGAAAACATGTGGAGTGTAGCATTATTGATGTGGCAGTTTTATCAGGTTCCATTTGTAGTAACTGTGGATTTGTTCAGGATTAATGGGGGGAGTGTATAATAATTATAATTCTGGCCCTGCAAGAATTATACTGTCTAGGCAGAGAAGAGTGTCTCAAAACTAATGACAAAACATGCCTGCCATACAGAGTTAAAACTCTGTGGTATTTTTGTCACTTTTGCTTATTTTTTGAATAAATTGATGGAAGAATCCTGCATTCAAACAACAGAAGAGTTCAAACAAGGTGTAGGATTAAAGAGCAAGCTGAAAAATCATGACTAAACTCAGTAACAGTGGCAAAATAATTGTGGTCACTTCTAATTAGCCTGTTCACTTCATGGTACCAATTCACCTTTTTCTAAGAAAGTACATGTGCTGGTGTTTTTTTTTTAATTAGCTCTCCTTGATTTTTCTTACATATCTTAATTAAAACTTTGGTGGTAGTTGTTAATTATGATGTACTTGTTTAGCCTTTTGTTTAGTCTTTATTCTGTTTATGAATGCTGCTTTCGAACAGCGTTGCTCTTACTCAAACATCTTGCACGATAGTTTTCCTTGGGGGTTATGGAAATGATAATCAGCCTTATGCTTGCTCTGTTTCCAGGTGCCAGAAAGACTCTCTGGAAACAGGAGCTCAACAAACAGACGTTTTGTGTTGTACCGTCACCTAGTCCAGTTTGTCAAAGGTGGAATTTTAAAGTCTTAGATTGGGCTATAATGATAAGCAATCTGCTAGTGGATTTTCATGTTTCTGCCTTGGTTGGACTTCAAAGTTCTGGTTTCAGTGACCTTCTTTGTTCTGTTTTGTGTGAAAAGAGGGTTGTAGTGGAGAATCTAAAAGTGTGTTGTCCTTCCTGCAGTCTTTGGATTCTGTTGGGCTTTTTTTCCTCTCCAAACTCTGCAGTAAGTGTAGCATAGAAGCACAGAAAACTCTTAACCTCTTGCAAAAAGAAATAACATGTCAAATATTACAGTATATAACTGGATCCAGAAAGCAATTGACTTGTGAACCAGGCTTGCTGAACCATTTTATTCACAATGTCTTTTCATTACTTATTCAGATAATTGATGCAATGTTTGAAGTCCCTGAAGTGCACAGAAGCATCTGCAATTTTCATTGACATAGTAAACTATTTTAGAAAAAAAGTACTTCAGTATCCTTACAATAGACAAAATATGCAGCTTTTGTTTCCATAAAGATTTAAAGTTAATGCATGGGAGATTTGGTTTAGGATTTCCATAAATTAAGGGGAGTTCTCACCTTTCAACAGTTGGGTTTTTAGTATTGAAAAACAAGTGTCGTTTCTCTGTGGGTTTTGTGTGACTTCATTAAAAATAAGCATTCTGGTGCTTCCCCCTGGTTATAAAATCTACTAATAATAAATGGTGGTATTTGTAAAACTGCTTACACTTCAGCAGTCGAAGAACACATTGAACAGATGCCTCCTGTTGCCCTCCACTTCAGTGTGTTTACTGGTGCTTCATGCAGCCTAGGTCACATTCTTGTTTTCGTGTTTGAGTGCTCCTGTAGCCTCTTCCCTCTGAATGCAGTCAGCTGCTCCCTGATTTGGTTTACATGCTCTTAGTGTCTCCCTCGGGTTCTCTCCATTCACCCATCTTTCACAACAGGCTCTGCAAGCTTTGTTAATCAGCTCATCCATTTGCATTAGAAGGTGGGGTTTTTTTTCCAGCACAAGAAAAA